GCAGCCCTGCGGGGACAGGGGGCATCAGCGCGGGCACCTCCGAGCCCCTGCGAGGCCAACGGGGACATCCAGCCTGAATCCGTTGGCTGCACGTCACTGCCAGGGCACATTTTAGGCTGGCAGCAGCTCGGGGGACTGCTAGGATGTTTTCATAGAATCATGGAATGCTTAGGGTTGGAAGGGAGCTCTAGGGATCATCCAGTGCAGCCCCCTGCACACGCAGGGTCACCTAGAGCACGTGGCACAGGGCTGCGGCCAAGCGGGTTTGAAGATCTCCAGAGAAGGAGACTCCACAACCTCTCTGGGCAGCCTGTTCCAGGGCTCTGGCACCCTCACTGGGAAGGGATTTTTCCTGAAGTTCCTGTGGAACTTTTGGTGCTTCCGTTTGGGGCCGTTTCCTCTAGTCCTATCAGTGGCCACCACTGAAAAGAGACTAGCCCCATCCTCTGCACTCCCTCCCTCGAGGTACTTCTAGACACTGATTAGATCCCCTCTCAGCCTTCTCTTCTCCAGGTTTTGCACATGGACAAGGTGCCTTTTCCAGGCTTCCAGTCCCACTGCCAAGGGCCTGGGCACTTTGCTCACGGCTCCAGCTCCCACATCTCCCTGTGCGGAACAAAGTCTCCGGGCTTCTTTTTTAAGGAGTCACAATGTTGGGAGAGGGGATGCACTCGATGCTGGCACATTCAAACGCTGCTTCCCGTGTCCTGGGAATGCCTGGAAAAGCCTCAGGCACCTGCAGGAGGGACATGAGGTGCCACCAGCACAAGCAGCTCCAAGGAGGCTGGACAGGGCAGGATTCCCCCATGGATTAGGACTCGGAGAGACTCCTAGCTCAACAGCAGCCCTTTGGGGGGACTTGGATTTCAGCTGTGTCCCAAAAATGTCTTTTGGCCCTTTCCACCTCTCCCGGGGCTCAGACAGCCAGGCTCAATCCACATCAGCATGTGAATCCCGGCGCTCCCGGCGAAAGCAGCCCGGAATATCTGCATTTGAACAGCGCCCTGGCCGGAGCAGCTTCAAAGCAAACAGAGTTACCAGGAAACGGCCAATTCCTGCTCTGCAGAGGAAGCCGAGGGCTGAGAGCTGCTTTTGGGTGTGAGGAGAGACAAACGGGGGCTGCCGTCCGGGTCGGAGGGCTCCCGTTTTCTCTCCCTGAAAACAGGATCCCTATTCCCTCTCCTTGCCTGCTGAAGGGCATCGCTCCCGGGCATCGATCCTTTAAGGCTGCCGGATGCCGGTGGCAGGAGCACGCGGGGGGTTCCAGGTTGGAAAAGGAGGGAAAACAGAGCCCGGCTTCTGCGGCCTCCGTTTGCAGGTGGCAGAGGGGACGCGGCGGGCGCGCCGCGGCCCCGCC